AATGGTAGCTACTGTAAACATTTGAAGAAATACTGCTGCATTTGCCCTTGTGTGCCTTTGAATAGGCTTTCAAGTGCATTAAATACTTTCGGTGTACTTTCAGGTATTGAAAGGAGTTGGCAAACTGGTGAGTTTATATGGTATGGAAGAATATTTTGATGCAAAGAAGCCCTGATTTGTAAGAAAAGAAAGAATTGATTCTTTTCTAAATAGTGCTAGCACAGGGGCAGATAGAACTGTTTGCATAGTCTGTGGCACAGAGCCATGCACTGCATTCTTTGTACGCCTCACCGGTCTGATTTGGAGTGATATAATTGACTTTCTGATTTATACTAATAACAAAACATATTGCAGAGACTTGTAGTTATGGGATGAAGTTCAAAGGCTATGAAGAACTTTGTTTTTACAAATACAGATTATAATTTTTTAAAATATAAATCTGTTGGTATTGCTAAACTCCAAGCATGTTGGTTACGAGCATACATCGCCAGCCTTTCTACTGCTAAAGAAGGTGGGAACAAGGAATGTTATTTTCAGAGGATATTTCATCGAAAATGTTTTCATATGTTTTCCTTTCTTTGGTCAAAACTGGTGGCATTGATATTGAAACAGTGGCACAGCATTATTGGATAGTTGCAATTTAAATAGCAAATGGAGGTAGTTCATTACATTTTTTTTGCTCTTTCGTGAAAGCAATGATGGGAAGATGCATTCTGATTATAACAGTTGCTAGTTCCCAAACTGAATAGTGAACATTCTATAAAGTAGCATGTTGGCCCACACTGTACATTCATCAGGTAATTAATCAAATAATCTCTGGTAAAGTCTTCAATGTGACTTTCATCTACTATTTTATCTGCAGCTCTAGGTAGCTAATTGTGACTGCAGGGAAATTCTTGCCACATTTGACAAAAATATATCTTTTTCCAAATTAAACCAGTTCATCAAGTTTGCATATTTCCCTTCACGTGCAGTAACATTTTAACAATGGCATGGTTTGACATCAAGCCTGGGACAGTGATCGTAGACGAGGTTGAAGAGAAAGTTGTTAATGTGCGATCTGAAGAGGGGTAAAGAGGGAGCAAGGTAGAGGGATTGTTGCAGGGAGTTCCAGAGGTTCAAAGAATAGTGGCTGAAAGCATGGCCGTCAATGGTTAAGCGGAGGGTTCGAGGGACATGTAAAAGACCTGAGCAGGCTGAGCCAAGAGTGCATTCCGAGGATGGGCTGTGAACAGGTTAGACCGGTAAGGGTATGGGGGGGGAGTATCAGGGAATTAAGTGATTTATAGGTGAGTGTAAGGATCTTGAAATGAATCCATTCTGCGACGAGCAGCCAGTGGAGTCTGGCAAGAACTGGGTGACCGTGGTGCAGTTTGGTGCATGTGAGGATACGGACAGTGGAATTCTGATTCAAGGAAACAATCATACTTTGAGAGACAATTGTTTTAAATTGTATAGGTAGCAGAAAGTAGTGAATTGCATCAACTACTTAATTTTTAAAACTGCATGCTTGCCTAAAATGTAGTTCAATTGAAGGTACACACTGTTAAATTTAAGTTGGTTTTCGTATTTTGCTGCAGTAGTTTTCAGAAAAAATAAGTGAGGCAATAAACTATAGGGCACAATAGTATTATGGTTTAGCAAATTAATCGATGGTAAATGATTACAGTATTACATTATTGACAATGGTTTAAGATTAAGATAGATGACAAGGTCCATGTTTAGGACATGAAAGAAGTGTAGTAAAGGAAAAAATAATAGCAACCAAACACTTTGTTCCTTTTAAAATGTGCCACCTTTCCTATTCTGATTGATCGTATTGATGCCTAGCAGAAGATTAATTTGGTTGGGCAGGTTTTATTATTGTACTTAAGTATTTCATTCTTGTTGATATCTAAGCAAATGGAATATAAGCTTGAAATACGCACGAAGAGGAAGGATATCTCTTTGATTTACCTTAATTTTAAAAAAACTGGTAGCCATTCAAAGTTCACAACTGTTTTGAGTTTATATTAATCCCGTCTGTGATAGACATGTCCTGTATCAACATCTTGGACACTTGCCAAGTACTTCATTTCTTCCCCTCAGATCTGTGGGCACCATTATCTTGAGGTGAATGACCATGACAAAATGAGTATTTCCATTCAATCAAAATACCCAAGAAGATAACTGTGTATAAGTTCCAGTCTTTGCTAACTTTTTTAATATGATGAAATTTATCTCTTCCCTCATGACTAATGCCATTCAATATTATGAAGTGATGTGACGTAATTTCCAGCAGTGGAGCAATTCCGAATGGGAAACATATTTATATTTCCTCCACCAAATTGTCCTCACCAAGGAAAGCTCTCAGAATATGCAACTAAGCATGTCTGCAAAACTCAGCAAACCAGTGGTGAATTCTGGTTACAAGTTTGCAATGTTATTCAAGAGGCAATCCATTAATGTTAAAAGCCTCAGGGATAATCAGTGAACTGACAGTTGGGTTGTCAGCATCCCTTAATTCCCCAAGGATGTCCTAAAATTAGTACATAGCAGACCTGAAGGGGAAGATTCAGCCATTAAAAAAAGAGAGCGAAAACACTTATGGTCAGCACACGGTAATGTTAGTTGAAAGGAAACCCAAAAGATTTGAATCACTTCACTTGTTCCAGCAGGATCATTCAGAACAGGAAGCTGTGTCCAATAAGGCAAAGTGATCTAGGCCTCGGAGATTGGCTGAATGGGGGAAAAAAGGACTGAAAATGAGTGAAGATGATTCCAGAGCCTTCGGGTGTCCTCCCGACCTGAAAGGCAGTATACAAATGTAATTTGTTGTTGTTGAAAAAGAGCTGAGAATTGGAACTATCCAACCAAGTCCGAAAGTAAGCAGCCAGGGCTGGGAATGAGGAACGATTTTGTCTTCCATCCCCCGTGATGTTCTGATTTGTTTGACTATTTGTACAATGTACTGACACTGTTCTAGAATTGTGAAGATGGAACTGTTACATGATACTATAATGAAAGCATTTAAAGTATCAATAGAAGTATCTGTAAGGACCCTGGATAATTTTAACATTAAAATAATCTTCCAAAACACAACTATGATATTGAAAACAGTAGACAATGCAAGAGGTTATTTGCACATCAACAAAGTCCCTGTAAATTTTGGCAAAATGCAAAAACCCTTCATTGATACAGACAACAGTGAAAAAATGTTTGTGTGTGAGAGAGAAAAATCATTCCAAATGTGTATCCTGCTTAAAATTTTGCAAACAAAAAATAACTTTCAAGCCCCACACATAGCCTAAGCTGACACTCCAATGCAGGTGGGGTGTTCCATTGTTGGAGGTGCCATCCTTTGGATGAGACATTAAACTAAGGTCCCATCTGCTTGTTCAGGTGGATGTTAAAGATCCCTTGGCACTATTCAAAAAAATAAGGGAATTTCTCCCGGAGTCCCAGTCAACAATCCTCAAAATAAATGTTGTCATTCACTCCATGGCTGTTTGTGGGATATTGCTGCGCGCAACTGGCTGTTGCTTTTCGCCCACAAAATACAGTCAGTTCCACTTTACAAGTATATCCTGTGAAGCACTTTAAGACATCTCAATGGTGTGATAAGGCGCGGATAAGCAGGAATAAAACTATGGAGCTGAAAGCCTTTACCATTGAAAGTAAACTGCAATAAAATGATTCAAAAACTTGGATCTCTTACTGTGCTATTTGAGCAAACCTCCTGGTTGATCAATTAAGAAGCAATATTTAGAATCTTCATAGAAATATCTTGATTTGAACCACTGAGTCCTCTTAACGGACAAAAAATGCTTGAATATTGATTAGGAAAGGAGCATCAAAAAAGATTCTGCACTTTGTTTTCTTTTCTGGTACAAAAGGTTGACTTGAGCTAAGCCAGGAAATCCACGTGCTTTTAAGAATCTGTATATTCCATGTATGTTATCCAGAGGTTATAAATTCTAAGGATTTTTATAGCCGAGCATAGCTATTTTGATGTTCCATTTTTTCTTCAAGCAGGTGTTAAATTGTAATGTTAAACTGTCATGAGCTACAATGTGAAATGCATTATTTTAAAACTGCCCTTTCAGTAACTGTATAAAAAGAAAATAACTACTTTTCAAGAGATGATTAAATGAAATAGGATTGTAAAAGTTGATTTGCGTATTGAATCGTTACTTGTAAAAATTGAAATGATCTTTTAAATAAAGTAAATTAAATCCAGAAGTCTTGAGGTTTTATTTATTAGGCTGGTGATGGAAGCTGAAAATTTACTTCAGATATCCTGTCCATTTCCACTTCAATAACTCTTAGCTTTAGTCCATTTCCTTCTTCCAACAACAATATTGATTTACAGCAGACTACTGTTGCAGAACAGATCACAAATCCAAGCAATCTTACAAACTCAAATGGAAGGAAAACTCAATTTCATAATGGAATAGAATGCTGAATTAATATGAGTTAACAATTTGGTAGCAGATTCCTAATGGAGGCAACAATAATAGCCTTTGAATCTGATGCTAGTTTATTTCCCTCACAGTCGCATTCTTACTCTAACTCTTTTAACACAATATTGTCAGGTACAATCTGTTGGATTCTAACCTATGTCTGCCATCCTGTGGTATAATGTACAATCCACTGCGACTTGCATAAAATAGATCATAACCAAAGCTACTGCACAGACACTTTGTAAAGTTTTTCTTTGGTCTATAAATGTTACTATAGCCCTTTACTAAAATATGTATTTACTTGTGCAACTACAATGCAAATGATAATGCCTAGAGGCTATGTTGCTGTGCTGAAGAGACTTCTGAGCACTTTCAAGCGAAATTGAGAACTGGTGCTCCAGTGGTCTATTTTTCAGACTACCTTGAAAAGGAATTAATGCACAATTTCAACATGCCACACAAGGAGGCTTTATATGGCTTAGACCCAAAAAATCACTAACATTGGGATGCAATAAGTTAATTAATGGATATTTTTTTCTTGTTTTTGCCTCCTTGTAGAATCCGTGTATGACCTACTACCAAAACAGCTTCAGCTTCCAGCAAGTGAGACAAGTGTTGTATCGATGAGTCAGAAAAGTGGTGGTGAGGCAGGCTCTCCTCCCTCAGCTACAGTCGCCGCTGGTATGCAGGTCTATTCAACTACTTTTCTTCTTTAACTGTAGATATGATTGCTAGGCAGAGTTTCAGGAGTCGAGCAGAATTAATCAAATTCTCACAGAATGATTTAATATAATCACTGGCAATTGTAGTCACCAACATTATTTTTCTGGGAAACTGGTGTAAATAAAGATAAAGTGTGCAGGAAGTTTTAAAAAAAAGTACAGCATTAAAATTACTTGGCCCCTTCTCTGGATTATGGAATCTTTCCAGTGATTATAATTATCATATGTCTCAAGCTGACACCATCTTTGTGAAGCACACTGCTATTTTTAAAATGCTACAGTGTTAAATTACAAATATGAGTATAATTATTCATAGACATTTGCTAAACTGATAATTGTTTCAGTATTTGAAAATATTACAAAAGTATTCTTGGTAAATGTTTTTATACTCTCTACTTTTGTCTTCTACTATATATAACTATCCTTAAAATAACAAATTAAATTTTCAGGGAACTTGTCTCTTGAAAACAAAACTTTTGTCTTATGATAACATGACTTGTTCCCTACCACGAGAAAAATAGTGGATTGATAACTCCCAGATGAATAGAATCAATCATTTTATAGTAAAGCCTGACTTGAAAGGTCCGTTAAAAAAACAAACCATTTCCAAATCTATTGTTTACTTCATTCATTAATTGAGTTTGAGATTTGTTTTCAGGATTTGCTAATGGGTTCAGGTTTTGGGAGAAAATGTACGGATCCGCATTATCCTGTAGTGTGGTCATTTTCCATTTACTTTGACATCACTAGATTGCTGAAATGCGCAATTAAAATTTGTAAATATTTGTGCAGCAAAATAAGGATTACTGCAGTGGGGAAGTTCTATAACAATAATCCTGTAATCCCATCTCAGGAGAATAACTTCAGTTCCAATAGGTGGGTTTTGCACACTGCATGTTAATGAGCAAAAGCCCAAGTGTAGTAAGAAATAACCATTCCCACAAGCACCGGTTTGTATTTTTTTACTTCATTTGTTTTTGTTAATGTAATTTTATTTGAGAAATTTTTTGAACAATGTAAATTACAAATTCAAAGAAGTTGTGAAGCAATTGCATAACCTTTTCAACATTGAATATAGCAAGTGGCAATGATTTCTGAGCAGCTTTTTGAGGGTCTTTATCTGTATATCCATCAGAACCAGCAGCAAAGCCGTTGTGCACTGTAGAGTGCAGACGTTTCAACTTTGAAACAGTCATTAACGTACATTTAAATGCTTAGTTCGCTAAATGAGCAGCTTTTGATTGAATACATGATAACAGATCAGAGAGAAGTTAATGATCTGGATCCACTGACCTAGCTCTGCAATCCAAGCGAAACGGAAGTGATTTATTATTACCTGTCTTCTTGTGCCCCATTTGTATTGGACTTTTAGCATTGATTCAACATGAAAATGGCGTTGAATTTCTGCTATAAATGCAGCGTAAAAGTGTTTCGGAGACACAGTCTTAAATTGATTTACATTTCACATCAGTGGATGAAACTTGGAATTTTCAATTAGTGTTGAATAAAACTTACTCCAGTTCAAAGGATGCCTTGGTTTAAGATAACACTTCATTCTGAACCATTCCAGTAACTTACACACCAATAAACCCAATGTGTTTTACAATCAGCACCTCAAAGACTTGCATTAGATGTATTTGCATGAATTTGCCTCAAGTAGCCACTATAATACTGCTCTGTATGCTCTAATCTGAAACTGGAAACAACAATGCATCACTTCCAGTAATACACATAAGACAGTCATTATATAACTAGCATGAAGAGATGTAGATACCACCTAATTGGAAAAGCCCACATATCATAGTCTGGTTCTTTCAAGAAAAGAGGATTAGCAATTCTAAATTAAGTTGGGATTGAAGTTGACTCTGATTGAGGTTGCAAATGGCACCAGGAAGGATCATGGCTGCCTCCAAAACATCAAGAATCAAGGTGGTCTTGAAACTTTCATCTGATTTTTACAAGTACTGTATTTGAGGAATTCATGGACAAAGTCGTAGTATAGTTGGCTCCAATGGATGTTAACATATCAATTTACAAGCAATAACAGTTACCAAAGATTTACAAAAAAATGAACAGAATAGGCTCCTCGGTCAAATCTGTCTATGCCTGCCAGTGTTTATACTCCACGTAAGTCTCCACCCACCCTTTGCTCCCTCCCACGCCCTTCTGTTCCTCTCTCCCTCATGTGAAGGTCTAAGTTCCTCTTGAACGCATACTATCTGATTCAACCACTACTTCGGCAACACGTTCCGCAATCTCACTATCCTTTGTGCAAATTCCTATCTCCTAAATTCTCTTTTAAATCCTCCAGTTGCTTGGATCCCCAATTTTGTCCAAAAAACAGATTATCATAGTTTAAAAACAAATACATTTATGCAGTCACCAGGAAGCTGAACAACAACAACAACAACTTGGATTTATATAGTGCCCTCCACGCCGGACGGCATCTCATGGTCTTGATGCTGATGGGGAAATGTTGGTATTGATTACATATTTTCTATTGCTTAGGCAAGATGTCCCTAAGTGTCACATCTCTACAGGAGAAATGCAGGTTAATATTTCAGTTTGATCCTCTCCAGAACTACATTATAGGTGAAGCTGGACACAAATATGGGGGTGCTGTCAAGAAGGAACATGGTGACCTGGATATGTTTTATTCGTGATTGTTCTCCTTAAGGGTAGGTGACCTGAGCCTTGTAGTGGCCAGGGAAGAGAACTGCTAAGAGCAGTTATGTCTTTGCTAGGAACCTAGACTTGAATCTGCAAGTTCATAGTCTTCATCACCAGAGTTACCAACTTGGAGTCTGAAGTTGATTGAAGTAGAATTCTGTTGGGGCTTGGATTCCAGTGTCTGGAAAAACTCTGCAATCTTTAAGACTGCCCAAAATTGTCTGCTTGGAGGGAGAAGGGTTGAAATTGTGAAAATTGAGCTGTGAAAGGTCAAAAAATATTTTAAATAAAAAAATCCAATAAAAAATGGTTAAACTGTAAATGACTAACTGGTATGGAGACTTCAATTGGAATTTTAATATCCAGATTAATGAATAACCTGCTAATGAGCACTAATATGAGGTGGGCATAAAAAATTGAGCAATGAACAAATCTATAGAAATGCAATATGCATGTACGATGGACAAAACTCAAATACCAATGCTTGAAGGTCAGAGAAATTATATTTTCTCATCTTCTCCCATTCCTCTTCTTCCCCCCCACACCAAAAACAGTTTTGATATGAATATTGGGCATTGATATTTTACTCCAGACCTAAATATCATTTGACCTAGAAAGTATCTGGATTAAAACTCAACAAAGCTGTGTGTGGTCATGAGTGAGACAAATTCCTGCATGCTATTAATGTGTTTAGCTGGATCAATTAATGGAACTTGGCTAGTGCTGATCATGTATAAGATTTTCTGTGTATCTGAGCACAATGAATTGATAACTGACTTCTGGGTTTGATTGCTCGTGGTTTTAATTTTTTAATAAATCTTTAAGTTATTTCAATGGATCAATTATTTTTAGTGTTCTGTGATTGTTTAAAAATGCAGGGTGCCATAAATAACTATTTTCTATTGAGAAGTATTAAGTGAAGAAACGTAGGAGCAAATTATGTCCTGTTAGAAGATGCACAAAAACATTTTTTTCCACAGGGGTTGAGCCACTGTGCATAGTTTACTGTGCTGTCCTCTTCACTTCTGGTTCCTAAATCTGTGACCAACAGGAACTAGGGGAAAGTCTGGTGTCAGTGCCTGTTGGTCAAATGTTGTACAAATCAGATAAATCCAAGTCTCAATCCTTTTGTTAAAAAAACAAATGTATGGATTGATTTAAAATGTGACTTCTTTAAATAAAAAAAATAAAGTTGACAAAGCAGCATGGATGAAGAAGGAAGCTCCTGTAACCTATTCAATCTTATCCCTCCAGAATACAAACCTGCCATATTCCCATTTATAGCAATAACCTGTTACATAACTTACAATATTATGCAGCACTACAATTTTATGTGTGCTAAGAATACTTATTTTGAAATTGCAGGCACAATATCATAATGTGCACTGTATTTTTCCAAAAGTAAGTTAAACCGTATAATTGCCATAGTTCCATCTGAGGGAAATTCTCAATCCCAGTTTGTAATTGTTCAATATTAACACCTACCCATGCGCAACTGGCAAAAAAGATTGTGTGCAAGAATTGCGAAATTGCATGCATGTGCCAATGTTACTAAGCCCACGATTAAACTGCACATTTCGGGAAAATGACATCCCTGGTAACCTTATGTAAATTTACACATGTACACATCTATCCTTTTTTTGGTTTGTTTTTCTTACATTTTTTGCTTAGTCTGTGAATATCGGGCAAGTAATAATTTTACAGAAACTCAGAAAAAGTTTATTTTTTAAGCTATTCAGAATTTTAAAACTTTCTAGTTTTTTGTTAAGCAAAAGAATAAGAATCAAAACTGTTTGTACAATCTTAAAGTTGGTTTGCAGCCACTTTTTATCTTCTTGACTAATTTCTAGCTTCTCTACCAGAAACAGGATATCAATAAATGTCTGTTAGGTAAACATAATTACAAATGTAATTTTCTATCAGATAGTAGCTTTACAATAATATTTCTGAAAATATATAATTCATTCTATTTTTGCTTAGATTAGGTAATCGTTTTCAATACATATTTAATCAAAGAATGTCACTTAGGTCACTTTAAGAACATTTTTTGAAAAATTGTTCTTTTAGTCAATCAAACCTATTGATGAAGTGATTCAAGAATTTTACCCAAGGTTCCTACTGAAATTTATTCTCATTTTATTTACCCCAAAACATTAATCCCTATATTTTATATATCTCCTTACCAGTCCTGGGGTACTGTTGAGTCCAGACTCCACTATGTAGATTTCTGTTGAGTTTTCTATGTAGAATTCAGAATCCCTTCATCAATGTTGTGACTTTTATTTTATGTGTTCTGAAAGTCCTCAACAAAAGCAACAGTGGAGTCCATATCCCTCAGTAGTAGAAAGTCTTAACCTTCAAACAAGTGTCACTCAATTTGTCTTATTTGTTGTATCTCTGAAGAGGTCCATTGAGAACATCTGTTATGTGGAGCAGCCAACACCTATTTTGGGAGTCCGTTCTCTTACAAGGTCTCTCACTTTCTTGATGTGAGTACTTTGTTTATCTATAGCAGTGCATAAAGGGTGCTTTATATGCTGAAGAAAGAACAATCATCTACTTTGGAATGTCTTCATTCTTTGAATGGAGGGTATCCTTCACACAGTGTGGAACCAGCCATCTATTTCGTCATGTCCTTGGATGGAGTGAGTTTTAGGGTTTTTTTCTTTCTAGGCATCTGCAGGTCACATCGACAATTTTTCCTTGTGTTTTTACTTGTAAAATACTTTCTTACTAGTGTCGGTACCCATCATGTATGGAGGAAACCTTCTATTCAAATAATGAAGAAGAGCCATCAAGGTTCATAATCTTTCTTGACAAGAAATCTAACCTTCAAATCTTAAAAAAAAAGTGGCTGCAAATAAACTGAAAGAATGCACGTGTAATTCATTCTACATTTAACAAATGCAAATCTTTGAAAATGCTTTTGATCTAGCACAATAACTGCTACTTTTTAAATATTTCATGTGAAACATGGATTAAGTTGTTTGAATTTGGGGTTTATAGGCACAAATCTGGATCTAACAATTAATTATTCATGAATATGCTACCATATCAGCAATTTTACTTCAAAAGAGGTGAAAACTATTGCCTGGAGAATACAGATTTGCAGGTTAAGGGCAATTAAGTTTTACTTGACAATTTATGAATAATGTGCTTAAATGACTACTAAGATAATATTGTTCTACATAAGCACCAAAGATAATAATTACAGATAATTGAACAAAAATGTTCTTTCAACGTAATAGTAATTTCTTTTACAATCCTTTGGAAACGTAGTAGGTAAACTTGCACAGTCAGTGAAGAAGAATAATAATAAGAAGAATGATTAGGGATCTTTTCAGCTGAAGAATTATTTGGTCTCAGAGTCTTTTGTTTGACGATGAGATATCAGATCCCGTATTGATGAATGTGGCTAAGTCAAAATTGAAAAAGGACCGTTTCCATTGAATGCATATTATAATAGCAATAAATTGCATTTATGAAGCCCCTTTCATGTCAGGAGGAACTTGTTATTAGGAACCTGTTACAATCAATTAATTTAAAATTAAGACAACATAATTTTATTGTTCAGTATTTTAAAATTGTTTGAAATTGGAGATTGGGGGAGGGTAGTCTAATTTACGTTGACACTAAACAACGATCTTTTGGCAAAGATTTGCTGAACAGTTTGCTATTTTTAGTGATCGGTATATGAGAGTTTAATTTGTTGAGAAATTCACAGGGTTAAATTGGTTTCAAAAGAAAAAATATGAGTTTTTTTAACTATAATTTTTGACGGGTGACGGAAAGTCAATAAACAAATTTGTTACCAGTGTCTCAATATATGTGTCCTGTGATCTCACCCAAGTTCACCCCAAACCCAACCCCCCATTCATGCAGTGAACAAAGATTTTCAGAATAACAACTTGCAACTGTTTCGAAGGTTTATATCAAATATGAATGGAATTAAGTTTTAACATGATTTAACATTAACATTTCTTAGCCTTTTCTCATCTTTCTTGACCAGTTAGGTTTATGTATGGATTCCGCATCTCAAAGATATGTCCCGAAAGGAATTAACACCTCTTTTTAGCAACAGTCAGAGTGGATCATTGCTCACTGGAGAAAAAGAGATGAGAATTTGATGAGGCACTGGTACCATTTCTGTTTATCATTTATCCATTCAGTAGGTTACTAGTTCTTCTGGGTATTCAGACTTCACAAGCTTATTGATTATAGTTTTGAAGTCTATCTGCTCAATTTGTTTTAATTCTAAGATTTTACCTCTGAAGCTTGGCAGCATAGTTTGCTGTTGATTGCTTCAAACTTCAGAATGTTTTTTAGTTGGTTTGGCTTTTTTGCAGTTCCAGTTACTGTGATCCACAATTTTTTCATATTTAGTTTTTTATCGGATTATTACCTTGCAGAGTATCTTTTCAATCTCTTTTTTTCCTTCCTCCTTCCCTCGTAGAAAACCATCCGGCATTCTATGACCCCTTTTCACTTTTTGGGACTTGGTTAAGCCTTGGAATAAAAAAGGTGAAAAACCTTATAAAACAATAAAAGAGAAAACAATTGGACAATGCTAGCTAGCCAGCTCACATTGAAATGTGTATATTTACATTTGGATTGTACATACTACAGATGCCTCCTCCAGCGGTGGTCAAAGCAGCACCTTCACCACATCTTCCAATCCTAGCATGCATTCTACCTCAGTAACTGACAGCACATCTATGCAAGTAGATAGCTGCGCTCCAGAACAGGGGGTAAGTAGCCAAGGGGTAAGTGAATTACTGAACTATGAAAATCAGTTAAGTAATGCCCCACAGCTGCAGTCTACACCCAAAAGGAGAACAGTCCTCAACATCTCACCACCCCCCGAAGACTTGCTGGATGACAGCAGGATGTCTTGTCAGGACGAGGCAGGTGACTCTGAGCAAAGCAGTAATATCTGGATGGATGACTCTGGCTCCAACTTCAGCATCATGAGTTCCAGTTCTTACAATGACAATACAACAGTGCCCCGAAAATCAAGGAAACGCTCACCCAAACAACGCCCTGGCTTTGTGCCTGAGGGTGACGAAGATACAAATATGGATGTATTTGATGCAGACAGTGCAAAAGGACCCCATTATGTACTTTCTCAACTCGGCTCAGAAGGCAAAAGCAGCTCAAAGGGAAGCAATGGGTTGGTATAGCTTCATTTTTAATTTCATGTAAACAGTTAAGAAAATATAATCTCAACTAAACACACAGAATGAGCATTTTCCTTTAGAAATGAAATCAGTGTTTTTTTGTGTCTTACCCATTTATTTATTTATTGGAAGCGATATGCTTTGTAATAAATCAGGCAAAATTTTGCAATATATTAGGAAGATTAATATGAGAAGGATTCTTTGTTCAAGGTATAGACATTCCATAGAAAAGCTTGTCCTTTTTTTATATATAGTTTTTTAGGGGAAATATTGCACCGATAGGTCCTGCCTAAGTTTGTCAGTTGTGTAGAGTTTTCCTTACAAATTATCTTTATCTGTTGTAAACCAGAGTCATTAACATTTCTGTTATGATAAACTTTCTCTTCAGCATATAAAACACCAATTCTTAGGTCAAAGTTCTGTTTTTTCAGAATAAATTTTGAGAAATTACATTGCCTCCTATACTGGAGATAACAAAAATAGAAATGCTGGAAATCCACAGCAGATCAATCAGTATCCAAAAGTTTAAAGATAGGTTTAAGTTTCAAACATAGGCTTTATCAGAACTGAAATAGTGAGCTGAAAAGCCCTTATATTTCGATGCTCAGATTTCGAGCATCCACTATTTTCAAATGCCACAGAACCATACTTAACTTTAGAGATGAAACAAATTTGCATGACGATTGACAGTACAGGAATTGTATGTTTTTCCATTATCCATATGATGATTGGTGTTATTATCTGGATCTAGATAGTTTGCCTCAACTTGATGCTGCAGAAAAAATCCTGACAATTGGTCATATTGTGTGTAGTTGTGCTTTTGAAAATAATGAATCTGCTTCTACATTAGGAGGGATGAATAGGCATATATTCAGTGTATTATACTTTCTGTATACCTCAGATAATTTTTAAAATTATTTTCTACACTTGCTAATAATACTTATTTGAAGGGATTCTTGATAAAGCCTCGGAAAATAAATAATAATAATAATAATCCTTGCATTTGATATAGTGCCTTATCACGTCTTCAAGACCTCTCAAAGCGCTTCACAGAATATACTATAAAGTGAATTGACTGCATATTTTGTGGGCGAAACGCGGCAGACAATTGCACACAGCAGCGTCCCACAAACAGTCGTGGATTGAGTGACCAAATTATTTTTAAAATTTAAGTAGTTTTTTTTCTTCATTTGTTATTATGGTAGACGACTAAAGTCCATCCAGTTCTCCTTCAACCAGATCCTGGCCGTCGCTTGACCTGTTGTGTCTCAAACTATATACTGTTTCCCCAGATATTATTTGCAAAAATAAATATCTCATTTGTCAATAATGTACCATTAGAAGCATAACCAACAAATAATTGACAGCAACAGCTTACAACAACTTGCCCTTATATAAAGGCAGAAATGAAGAGCAGCTTCCATTGTGTGATGAAGAATATCCTTGTGAACCTAGTTGCTAACCACCAACATTTCAGAGTATTTAGTTTGTTTACAGATTGATTGTAGGGTTACTTTTTTTTTAAACGTAGTCTGCTGCTTCAGCTGTGCTTCTCGAAAATGTTGTAGGAATGGCATCAATTAATACTTCAATTTGAACTGTAAATAGACCAACATCATAACAGTCCTTGAAGCTAGAGAACTCCCTCCATGGCATGAGTATACTATAATTACTTCTCTCATGTTGACTTTCCCACTTTTGAAAATGACTGCGTAACTCCAGAAACTTGCTAATGCTTCATATTTTACCATTACATCCTCCTTTCTTGCCAAAGATTGTGTCTCATTTTTGACATGGTCAAGAAATTATCATCTTTTCATTCTGCCTGCTTTACCCATAAATCCAAAATATCATTTTCATTGGATGTATTCATTGGTCTACTATGACTTAGACCAAAATCTTGGCAACAACCTAACATTTGTTTAGATCATTTGAGTCAAAAACTAAAGGTAATGCCATTACTAACAAGGCTTGTGTTTTACATTATTTCCAGTGCTTTGGCAGGAAGCTCAGTGGCTCTATCCGAGGCCACCTTGTGCTCATCATTGTGTAAATTGTAAAGCTGCTACTTAAGCTATCTTGCACCTTGGCAAAACCCATTTTGGATTTGGCAGCCATGAGTGACAATGCTTAGGAGCTTTGTCTGAGTTGAGTACATTATGGCTTCTTGTGCAATAAAATGGTACACAGTTGGGCACCAGACATCCATTTCTGTCTGTCAGCACACAAATAATAAACCCCAAGAACTTACATACCATTTATGAAATCATCTCAACCCTGTATAGCAGACTCTGATGTCCTACATTTTGTATGCTATCCTGTGTAACATGCAGTGACTGTGACCTTAATTGAATTGTGGGAACTTGTTTATGTGTGCCATGACTCTGCCCCCCACCCCCACCACACACACGCACACATGGGGAGGAATAAATACATTTGTGGAGAATAATAAATAAAATTACCACCTAAATACATTACATAACACAAACTACTGTGTTTCAGGAACATAATTCAACTAAATGTTCAGGGAATGTTGACAAATCACTTGAACATTTGCTCTTGTGGTTTATGGTATCATCTGAACATTAACCTATGTAACATATGTAACTTTTCATACTTTTGTAATTATTTCCTGACCTAATTATATTGCTAGATAACAAAACTCTTATGCTTAACCTGTTTGCTCCATTTATACTGCCAGCATATAATAATAATAATAATAATTAATAATAATGATAAAATCCTTGCATTTGATGTAGCGGCTTATCACGTCTTCAAGACATTTCAAAGTGCTTCACAGAATATACTATAAAGTGAATTGACTTTCCAGCAATCAACTAACAACGAGTTCCTACTTACTGCTAGATAAACAGAGGCATGTAGAGTAAGGAAACTTGTCCAAAGTTTCGCCTTGCCCGGAATCAAACCCAGGGCCTCTCACTTGCGAGGCGAGGGCTCTAACCACTAACAACAACAACAAGATTCCATTTATAGAGCGCCTTTCACGTCGGGAGGACGTCCCAAGGCGCTGAGCTACAGGACTCCACATATACACTGTATAAACCCATACTAGTTACAAATGTAAATGGTATTGAATTCAAAATAATGTTAGAAAACTCTCTGTCTTGGGTGGGAGGGTTGGTGGGCAAGTAAGCCAGGTCTCTATAGATCTCTATAGATAATAATAATAATCCTTGCATTTTGATATCGCGCTTTTCACGTCTTCTAGACGTCCCAAAGCGCTTCACAGAATACACTGTAAAGTGAATTGACTGTATATCTCCAAGGTGACACGTTTGGCATGCACTTTCCAGAATTGGGTAAGCAGTATACATCCCTTCAGGGATAAAAATCTATGAAATTTATATAGGTGGGGATACATGGAACTCTTTAGATACTCTTAAACATGGGTTGTGTGTCAGACACCCGGCTTACCAAAAAACGATTGTGTGTATTAATTCCTTCTTATTGTTGCGTTTTAAATGCTGCTGTAAATTTAAAGCGGTTTCTAAGCAAGGTGTATTTTTAGAAAAAAATATAAATGGAGATATGTTTGTTTATAAGGTTGAAAACGGGCCATCTATCCCTTGAGCAGCAATAATATCTGTAAAAGGTTTTCCGCTGGGAACTTGTGTGTAGATACATGACAGTTGAATTAATGTGAGACCAGGTAGTATTTGTTTGTGTAAACAGTGATTATAAAGAAGCAAAACTGCAGCAGAGCTTCATTATGCGGTGTCCCAAGAATGGTGGAATGCAGGTATATGTCTAGCTTTCCCACATTGACAGCTCCCTAATCTCAGCTATGATTTAAGAGGAGGCACTGAGGCAAGGTAAGGAACTCTTGAGATGAGGAAGATGAGGAGGGTGAAGTACCCATATATATTCGTGTGAGTTTCCCACGAATTGAACCAAGAATGGTATTGGTAAAAGCCATTGGAGTAAAATGATGCAGAGAAACCCAAAGAAGTGAAAGATAGTATTTAAAAAATCATTTCACTGTAAATTTTCTACACACATTGGGTATAAACCTCAGTGAATCCTCACAGGGTATTGCTCATGGACTAATTTGTAAATGTATCTGCCTCCTCAAGAGACTTCTACTTGAGCATAACTGATAACGTGCGCCTGCCGTTAGAAGATATACAATTGAATTCCAGGGATAGTATACTTTCTGATTCTTCAATCCCTACTGTGTTTCTCTTTCCATGGTAATGCAATTAAAGTTAGTGGGTGTTTGGATGTGCGACCCACAAAGGTTTGGTGATGTGCACAGGTTCCCAATGTGCTGTGTTACTGTGCCTGTCAATGTTTTGTCTTTGTATAGGTGTCTCCATGGAGTTACATGTATAGAGTTGTAGAATAGCCCATAATTTACCTTGCGGGCTTCCCTGCCATTGGTACTTTGTAACTGAGATCAACTGGTTTAGTAAATAAGTCTGTGTATATGGGGTGGGGTGAGAGATGATAGAATTAATAATGAAACATAATCCTTAAAGTGCTAGTCACAGGATTTCTAAGGAATTCTGTTTTTACACCAAATTAGCCACTAAAAGAAAGTGAAATCAAAAGTTGTATTATTAAAGCAATTTCAGTGATAAATATCTTGTTACTTTTAATGTTTCACAGACCAGAAGAAAAACAGAAAGTGGTTACAAAGAAGAATCCAGCGCTGACTGGCCACTATCCTGGTAAAAGTGAAGGCAAAGAGTTGAAGGTACTGGTGCAGCCAGAAACTCAGCACAGAGCGCGATACTTGACTGAGGGCAGCCGTGGCTCCGTCAAGGACCGGACACAGCAAGGCTTTCCAACAGTAAAGGTATTTTGTTTTACTTAAACTTTTAATGTTTGGGCTTTAGGTTTCAAGGACCTGCTTTAAGGTGGGACTCTCTTCTGAATCTACCTCCAGAAGCCAATTGTCCCAACACGTGTTCACAAACTCCAGGTAATGATTTGCTGAAGCTGTCGCCCAAAGCCTCAGAGGGAGGAACCTGACACACACTGACATGTCACTAATAGTAATATTATTATTACTAAGCACCGTAGAAGCAAAGTCGGCTTCACTGCGGGTACGACTATTTGCCAAGGGCCCTCACATGAGAACGTGGATTAAGCAGCTAATGTTCAGTAAAACCTGGTACCCAGCATTGGACTTGGATCTCGAGAACATCAAGGTCACAAGCTGTCTTGTAAAAGAAAAGGTTCTCCAACTATGCTAACGGCAGATGTCTGCTAGATAGTTGATGAGGAAACAGGAACAATTTGACCTTAGGGTGTGGGGGAAATAGCTTAAAAAACAAAGCCTAAGATTTGCTGTTTCTGTTTAACTTGTATTGTTGTAAGGAAACTCTTATCTATTCTTAGGAGAAGAGGTTAATATTAAAGTTGGGATTTTAAAACTTGAAAGTATTTGTGGTAAAATAAGGATTTTTTTATTTATTGTATTATGCTTGCTTGTGAATTTTGTTGCAATCTTATCAAAGATTTTAGTTCACAAACATTAAATTTTTTTTCTTAGTTGGAAGGTCACAATGAGCCAGTGGTTTTACAAGTTTTTGTTGGCAATGACTCTGGTCGTGTCAAACCCCACGGCTTTTACCAGGCCTGCAGAGTCACTGGGCGAAATACCACTCCTTGCAAGGAGGTAGATATTGAAGGAACAACTGTGATAGAGGTCAGCCTAGAGCCTGGGAATAACATGACACTGGCGTAAGTATTTGCTCACGCTGAGATCAACTGTTAAATCCGTATGTATCATCTGATATATTAATAGTGCTCATGAATCTTACCTGTATTGGTTTATCGCATCTTAAATTGTGTAACTCCCAGTTAATTTATTCTCCCTTGTGTCCCTAGAATTTCTCTGTTGTTTTTTTACCCTTTAATCCTTTTAACATATTGAATTTGACTTTCTGGAGAAGTGCAAAACAAGAAATATAGTCACAATTGGCTGTAGACAATGGGTGTGTATAAATTCCTATGTTGTCAGAGTCTGCAAGCACACATTAAATTGCAGCTGATTTAGGTTTACCATGTGTTTTGGTGAAGCATATGGAAAAGGGATAGTGGTTTATCTGCATACAAACATTTGCAAAGTCAGCATTGCTGATAAGAATTAGATCATTTATAAAATGCTGAAGTTTATCTTAAGATTTCTATATCTCACCAGAAACTTGGAAAATAATGAATTTGCCTTGACATGTTATGCCCTACGATTTTACACTTCCTTCTAGAAAAGCATCTCCTTTCTCTGAGCCTTCACAGTGTGGGCCTGACAAATTCAAGTCAGAAGTTACTGTCATGAAGCATTCTTGCCATGTTACATCACAGCATGTTTGAACATCAATGCAGTGCCCCATCATATCACATTACATTACTGTTGAATTTGAAAATAACTTTCAAATTTTGATTATAAAATATTATGGGATCTGAAAATCATGTGCCTATTGAAGCTTGGTCAATTATGTAATTTAGAAAGAAATTAGATAGGTGTTGTCTAGGTGAAAAGTGAAGTGAAAAGGGGAAAAAATTGAGTTTCACAAAATGGTCCGAAAATTTAACCATCTACCGTTCCATCAGCATAGTTGAAACCCACAGTGCAGATTGAAAAGTGTCAAAATGTGAATAAGCTGAATTAAGTCAATAGTCTGCAGTACAAACAGAGGAATTATTTATAACACTGCTCATTGGATCCCTAGATAGCCAAAGATAACATGGAACTTGTGTGATTTATTGCCTGAGGGCATATTCATATTTTTGGGTTTGATACACTGACCCAGAGACACCTACCAAACATACATATTGTCAGCCATAAGTATACGTGGTCCAACAACTGCAGTGTAAGTGGAATGGTTATATTGTAATTGGAGGGATACAACCCGACATCTGAATTTTAGGCATCAAGTTTTCCGTTCTTCTTTGTAATAGTTTCATGAATACCTGTTACAATTCTACTACTGTTGTTTTCTCACTCTGTAGAGTTGACTGCGTGGGGATTTTAAAACTGAGAAATGCTGATGTTGAAGCACGAATAGGCATTGTGGGATCAAAGAAGAAAAGTACCCGTGCACGATTGGTTTTTCGAGTGAATATTGTCCGTGCCGATGGATCCATTTTAACTTTGCAGACACCCTCATCACCCATTCTGTGTAGTAAGTGATATATTTCATTAAAACAATTTGGATTTAACTTGCACCATTTTGTGTTAATGCACCATTTTGCTGTGGAGTGCTTTTATTTTCGTTTAAGCAATTAAGACTAAACATTCTGCCTATATGTTTATCTCGTAGAATAACACAAAAATATAAACTTGAATTAGTAGAGATTAGAAAATTGAAATGGTGCAGCAGTGTCTGTTAAATATTAACTAGACATTAATTGGACCTCTGCATTAAACATGGGCCTTAACCATATCTAACATTCATGTGAAGTTTAAACAATCTAATTGGTTCCTGCAGGCATTTCGGGGGGGGGAACAAATGTGTTTGTTGTTGAGTTGTTTCCATTTATTACTTGCAACTGGTTTACTTAAAGACCAGCAACGGAAATTACATTTGCGTAGGTAGTTCTTTACAGTCAAACTATTCCTGTGCTTGATATAATTTTGACAATAAATGCTTTATTACTAGAGAAGCAAAGTAAGGTCTTACTTTTGAGAGATCCGTGTACCAAACATGGACAGTGTTAAATCGCATTACCAGTCCTTTTCAAAATTGGTAGCCATATTAAGAGTAGGTTCAAATGAAAGCTAGGAGTGTTTTCAAAACTTTGATCTGTTTATACCTATTCTATTAGTCTGAAAGAAAAGCCTCAAACTTGTGAATTTTACTGGTTGTTTTGTATTAAATTATTACTCTTACTAGTGTTTGTACTCTTTGTGGCAATTCATGTAGTTCATTTGGGAGGGGGAAATAGCCTAATAAGTAATATGAATCCATCTATTTTGTAATTAATTTGGCCTATTCTGTATAGATATTTACATAACACACTTACACCATTGCTCTTGTTAAACTGTATGTACTCAGTCTTCCTTACAGCCCCTTCTTTACATATTGACTCAAAATGACCTGTTTACACTTATTCACACAGAGCTGTTCCTGTTAACTGTAGAAAAACATGTAGTTGGCCAGACTATTTGTAAAAGCACAAATAAAGCTCACAAACCCTGTTTGTACAAAACACGTTTTAGCCGTTTCCTACCTCAGCATGAGTCTTCAGGAGAAAAAGGCAGCAATTTGGGGGAAAGGAATAAAATGTAATATTTTCATTGGTTGTTAATTATATAAATGAGGATTAGCTGTAATGAACCTGTAATTCCCTCTCTACACAAGTTTATACTGAAAGTGGGAATCATTCATGTGAAAAATGTTTCTGCAATGATGTGATGTTCAGTTGTAGTGGTCTGTTACGTTTGATTCATGTATCTGAAGAAATATATAATATTGGTTTAGTCCAACAGCTGCTGAAAATAGAAATTTAATCTCTTGCAGAATGAATTGAGCAAACACAGAATGAGTTTTGATATTTATCAAGGAAACCTGGTGATAAAAAATTAATTTGTAGTAACTGGAAGTAGTTACATTTAATATCAACTGCTAATTGGAGAAATTACTTTGTGATATAATTTTATTTTTTCTCTGTTGTGTAAAGTACTCCGAGACACTATTTTACCCTTTAAACACTTAGTTTGTTTAAAGAAAATCAGCTTTCACATTGCTCTGCTTGTTTGGCCACTCCCCACAACATGGCTGAAATTTGGAGATTAGCAGAATAGAAAATAATACTGTGCCATGTCTTCATTCTGCTACATGCTTAACATGACCTATGCATCTTACAGAGCAGTTTCCTCAACAATGATGACTGTGGATTTAAACACTAATTATTTTGACTTGTGTATTTTGATTTCTTGTTGACTGTAAACAAAATTGAGAGAAAAAAACAAATGTCTATTAGTACTAAAGAGATCACCAGATAAATCTTATAAGATCATCAAGGATAACAGGTCTCTAACATTATGATGATCTCCCAAGATGCCCACATAATATATAGCTTAAATAACATATGGAATTCCACATGATTTTAACATTGTTTGCTATTCTAGATCATTTTTTCACAAGTAAATATTACAGGTGATATATGCCATTATTTGCATTGCACAATTCCAATTGGCCATTTTGTGACTGATAAAGTAAATTTGTTTCACATTATAATTGTAGCTCAGCCAGCAGGAGTACCAGAGATCTTGAAGAAAAGCCTGCACACCTGCACAGTGAACGGTGGAGAAGATTTATTTCTGATAGGAAAGAACTTTCTAAAAGGCACAAAAGTTATTTTTCAAGAGAACGGTTCGGGTGAGTAATTGGTTTATCTGAGTCTAAAACAAGAAAGGCAAACAGTAAGAAATAAACTCTCCAGATTCTTTGCCTAGTATTGCCTCATTGGTGAATTCTTTCCAGTGTCTTTCCCAGATAATCAATTTTGTTCTGTCTCAAGACGTTTCCTTGCTTTTTCCTCTCCCATTTGAACCACTCCTACATAGACAATAATACTATACACTTCAATTGACTGCATTTTGCAAGCATAAACTGTCACAGAATAAATATTAGATATTAAAATGCCCTGCAAAAAGTCTTAATTTGCAACGATTGAGTATGAACTTGTCTACTATCTTGATACTTTAATAATATATGTGCAGCCATAAATATGCAAGTTAAGAGAACTGTTTTTAGTGAAACACCTGGTGAGTTAAGTCTATAACTAATCACTTCTTGTGACGCTTGTGAGCCATTGTTACTTCTTGATGTTGCATGGTTTATTTTTCCATAAGCCACAACACTCTATCCTGTCCCACAGATGTGTGATATGATGGATAATGTAATAAGTCTTTAAGGATGGAGGAGTTCCTGTCCATCTGTGTGATATTTTTAGTGTCCGCACCCAAACATATATTTATGATGTTTCTTATGAAAGATCCAGATGTTGATCAAAGCTGGATATGGATTAGTTGCCTCGTTTCCTCTCTATTACGTGGTTGTAAATTCTGAAATTGCCAGATTCAAGTGCTGCGAAAAACAGTGGCATCAAGCCTTTTTTTTTTGCCCTTTAGTTTTAAATGTGCATTTTGAATTATTGATTATTTTTCTATTTTGAAAAATAATGCATTTGTTCTCCAGTGATATCCTCTAACCTGTAAGATGTCGCACACACTATTTGTTGGTAGAGAAATGTTGCTTTACAACCAAAGAGCAGATTATGTACAAATTTACAAAAATGTAGATTTTCTTAGAAAACATTTCTTCTGTGATAAAATATCTGTAATCATATTTGTAATCATATAACAGAATCAAAGTTTTTTTTCAATAAATATCACTGGCAGAGCCATTATAAATGTGTTCAATCTTTTTATCTTCATCAGATGAGACCTGTTCTTGGAAATCAGAAGCCGAAATCGACATGGAGCTCTTTCATCAAGTGAGTTTAAAGACATCTCATTTTCAGGTTTTATTTAAAGAGAGGAGTGAATTAGAAGAAAAGGCCATCTTTTTATATTTACTTCAAGTAAATCTTTTTATATTCACTTAACCAGTAATGAACATAGATTTGATTTAAGCGCATCTTACAGAAAATCATTGACAAAATTGCTGCTTGGAAATCTGCGCAACAATCAGAATACAACAAAGAACACTAAATAACCACCGAACGAGAATACTCAAAATATAAACAGTATATGTGTGATTGAGATATATATATGATATTCTGAATTATATATGTTCTGAATTGTGCAAGTTATATATATATGTAACTTGCACAATTCAGAACACTGGTAGAACATCGTTTAAGGAGATTATGTTCAGTGCACTAGCTCTGCAGAATGTGGAACTTCTTTTGATTATTTCATATTACTAGCAGAGTTTAGAAAAACAAGGGGAAACTGCCTTGATTAGTCACTATGAGATCTGTAAACCAAATTGATTGCTTGTCTGCCTGCAGTTTGTGTGTGAGCTAGTGATACAAGGGAAGATCAAGAATATGACTTGAAAAATATATTCAAAAGTATTTGTTGCTCTTCACAATATTTCTTTTGTTTTCATAGAATCACCTTATTGTTAAGGTACCGCCATATCATAATCGACAAATTACATCACCAGTTTCAGTTGGAATATATGTTGTGACTAATGCTGGAAGATCACATGAGGTGCAGCCTTTTACCTTCACTCCAGATCCAAGTGAGTTCATTTCTATACTGTGTCAAGAGTTTGCTTCTGTTTCTGATACAGGGGGAAGCCTGTTATAGCCGCTCCTCCCTAATAATATAATTATATATCATATAATTATTATATATTATCATATATAATTATTATAAGTGAAGGAAGTTGGCCTTTTTTGTTGCTTTGCTTATTACAATGTGTGTGGCCTCTGAAAATGTGCCCTACAACAGTATCTGATAAGGAGAACTGAGCAAACAAAAATACATTTTACATTTATGGTATATGTTCTATTGTGCTTCAGCAAACTCATCAGATGTCATTGTGAAGAAAGAAGGAGTTGCCCAACCATGTTCCTTTGAGGAAGTTATCAAAGGTAAAATCATACTTTTTTAAAAAATAAATGCATCCAAAGGAAAATAGCCTGCTGGTGGGTTCAGTGATTTGAATCTCATTTTACGTAGCATATTGCTGAACTTGAGTGGCCTGTCAAATGCAATGCCAAAAAAGTGGCTGACAGGCTCAGCAGATAGGAAAAGAGAAATTTTACATGGTTTCAACATTAAGCTGTAATATAGCACCGGCAGCTAACCGTAGAGTTACATAACAGAGATTGGAAACTGCTGCAATTCTCTACCAGTCCAGAATGCATTCCCTGAGAGGCCATAGAAGAGGCTATGAGAGAAAAAATCCTAAATAGAGTGTGTCTCCATTTCAGTGTGCTTTGTTATAGAACTGAATTTGGTTAGAAAGTAGTTTCAATATGGACCCCATTCACTGTGCACAAAATATTAGCATTGAATGAACGCACTGGAAAGCAGCTGCATTATAGTGGAGCACCTCTGTAATACACATTTAACTTGTGTTTTCTATCTAGGAGAGGGATCAGATTATCAAGTCATGAATGGCTTGTCCAAGTTCTAGTCAATCAATGCAATAGAACATTAATGTTGCAGGGTATGCATGCAAATTGTGTCATTACACCTCCTGATGTTTAAGGAAGTAAATTGAATTCTAAAAAATATTTGAAGGTCAAGCTTTATGTACTGTTGTGTTATATGATGTGCACCCATTTGTAAAATGCTTGAAAGACTGTTTTTAGATCAATTCTTCACTATCCTTTTGCTGATCTTTGTGACCCTGTATGCTTTGCAGCCGTAACATTTTGCATTCCTGCATACTGATTACTATTTTATGATGTCTAACGCAGAAACGTTTTTGAAGCACTGTTTTCTTATACCTCCATGGAACAAATGAGTCCTGTATGAGTCCACTGATCTAATGTTTGCAGAAACAGCATGAGAAGGTCAGACCAGTTATCCTGGCTGCTTGCTAATGGGAGACTGTTCAGAGCTCTATGCACACGTGCTGAATAAGTGCACACACAAAAAATCACTTCAGCTGTTGATTACTATCTAAAGAAATACTTCCTGTTGTTAATCTTAAACTTGCCCTTCACAAAACCTGAACCTTGTGTCCTCTTGTCCTATTGACTTGGCTTATCTGAAAGATTCATTTATTTTTTCTATCCTGTTTACAAACGTTTATGTTAAGTTGGCTAAAATATGAATTTTAATCAAGCACTGAATAATGATCATTTCGAAAGGATTTATAACGATTCGCTTCACTGACAAGCTGAAGGAATGCATTAAAAGGCATCCAAACTAGATTGAGAATATGTTGTCCCAGTTACTCTGGCCAGAAAGACAGTCGCTGGTCTGGTTCCATGGGTTACAGTTTGTATATTCAGAGAATGCAAATGAAATAAAACATAATTTGGTGTCAGTTAAATCTACACTGTACTCACAAATGGATATCTCTTTATAAAAGTATGTTTTGATATCCTATCAGAAATGGGTTTATAGAATCCAATCGTCAGTTCTATTTATATTTGTGAAACATTAGAATGGCTGAGAGGTGTGACTAGATTTTTGCTTCTTTATCACAGCTGCAGCAATGAAAGCCACAGGCTGTAACCTGGAAAAAGCGAATCTTCTTCCCAGTGCCTTGATATCACCCCTTCTACCATCTGCTTTGGTTAAGAATGAGGAAGTGAATCCAATGGATGTAACATCAAATCAGACACCATCTGCAGTCTTTAAGGTATTAAGTTATTTTTGTCAAGAGTCTCGAGCACATTTTTGTTTAGGACTTCAATAGCGGCAGAAAAAGAAACATACTTGGAGTGAACAATTAGCATTTTATTTCCAAAAAATAAATGTAGGAAATTCAGCTCAAAGCAACTATAACTTTGAAATATATTATGTGTGATTTATAGAAAATGTGTTTTTTTTGTGATTTTGCTCACAAAATATACAGTCCATCAATTTACAGTATATTCTGTGAAGTGCTTTGAGATGTCTCAAAGATGTGATAAAGAGCTATATCAAATGCAAGGATTATTATGATGATATAAATGTACAGAGTAGTTCAATTCACTACATGTAATTTTTTAAATGAGTCTTTTTTTTGTTAAAGAGTCAAGAAATGGGACTGGGACAGCCATCTTTGGAAACCACTTCTAATATTTCAGGAGGGTCTCCTTTCTCTGCGTCCATTTCCCATCAAGGAGGGGATGGTGAACAACACCAGCAAATTCAACCAAATGCCTATCCAAGCACAGAGTCTCTGGCCACTGTCCAGAAACAACAGGACATTTCTCAGACTTGTGCGTTTCAATCCACAAATTCTACCAGTCAGCTTCAGAACAATGAAGCTTTACTTCAGCAACAAACGCAGTTTCACAAAACTGGCATTTTGTTGGATTCAAGCGAAGTGCAACCGAGAGACATTTTGCAGTCTGGTGAAACTATGGTGTCATTGACTCGGTTGTCTCAGTCTGGGCTGCAACAACAACAGCAACAACAGCACCAATCACAAGCACTGCAGGAGCATTCTTCTAACATATTCCAAACCAGCAGTAATGTTTCACAGTTGCAGAATGCAATGCAATCTATGCAACCGGGAAACTTTCAATCCAATAGTAACAATGGGAGGAGTGATAATGTTAGTCTTGTTCAACAGGCTTTGGAGGCTGCTCAGCAGCAGTTGTCTGCTGTTTTATTTACTGGCCCATCTGATACCATGCAACAGTCTGTGGAACAGGTGCGAGAGCAAATTAATGCAGAGATGTTCCAACAAGTAAATAATATGCAGAGTAACATGGCTCAAGGTTTATTCTCGACTTCAGACAACTCATCCCTCTCTAGGTCTGACAACGTTCTCTCCGGACATGAAAGTTCGTTGTCAAATCAACAACAGCAAGCATTAGAATCTTCCACCGGTATGGTGATGGCAATACAACAGAACATTTGCACCAGAACAGGGCAACTGCAATCAGATTTGTACCAATCATCAAAAGTAATAAATGTCCAAGGGTCTTTAAATGGAAGCCTTCAACAATCTGATGTTTTTCAGCAACCTTCTCATGTCATGTCTGGTCTACAGTCCACTGATGCAAACCAACATCAGATGTCACACGGTGGATTGTTTTCATCGAGTACAAATGTTGGAGGAAATGAGAACATGGGGAATTCTCAACAACAAACAGCTTCCTCGAGTCTCTTTCAGTCTTCAAGTTCCATGGTCTCTGCAGAGGCCTCAGCGCAGTCAAAGCAGAAACAAAACAATGTGTTCCAGTCTATCGTACAAATGAAGCACAGCGTAGACAATCAACCTCAAGTCAATTTATTTTCGACTACAAATGGAATCATGCATGGAATTAAAGCTGGTGGACCCTCACAGCAAACTGGACTTTTTCAGCAGAGTGGAGACATGATGCCCATTCAACAAGGAAACTTCTTGCAACAGTCTGCTCACTCTACTCACCCGTCATCTGAATTGTTCCATCCCCAAAACCCCATTAATCAAGCTCAGAATACAGCACATTCCCAAGAGCCACAGTCTGGCCTTTTTCATTGCCAGAACACTGTCCTCCAGCATCAAAACCCTGCTGCTTCCCAGGACCAAGTACAGTCAGCGTTGTTTCATTCTCAGAACTCAATGGCAGTTCTTCAAAGCTCATCACATCCCCAAGATCAGCAGCAAGCCAATCTTTTTCTCTCTCAAAACTCCTTGTCTTCACTTCAAAATAGTAACATGTCACAAGAAAAGCAACAGATCACCTATTATTCTCCACAAGGTTCAATGCCTACACTCCAGAGCTCAGCATCTCCTGAGCAGCAATCTGTGAATGTCTTTCAGCCCCAGTCGCAAATGTCTTGCATACAAAATACCATGATTTCTCAAGAACAGCAGCAACAGAGTCATTTTCAACACCAGGTCACTTTATCTTCATCACAGGCTAACACTTCTCCCCAAAACCAGCAAGGCTCACTTTTCCAGACCCAACACTCACTGGTTACACTTCAGAACAGCACCTTGTCCCAAGACCAACAACAGAATGTTCTATTTAACTCCCAGAATACCATTTCTCCAATAAACAACAGCATGACTTCCCAAGAGCAACAACACAACATCCTTTTCAACTCTCAGAATGGCATGGCTTCAATGAATACAAACATGGCTTCCCAAGAGCAACAGAACCAAACTCTTTTTCACACTCAGACAAACATGGTGTCGGTCAATCAAGAGCAACAGTCGTCCATGCAATTCCAAAATCAGGCCACAGTTTCTTCACTCGCAAACAGTGGGACATCTCAAGCAGACCAGCAGCAGTCATCTGTTTTTCACAACCAACCCCAAATGCAGTTAGTTCAAAGTTCAGGTGACTCTCAAGACCAGCAGGTCACACTGTTCATTTCCCAGGCTTCAATGTCTGCGTTGCAGAACAATATGACTCAGCAAGACCTTCAGCAGTCCAACATTTTTAATTCTCAAAATAATGTGCCTGTCCTTCAGACCAACACTGCTTCACCAGGTCAGCAGCAAAATACACTTTTTCACCCACAAAGTGCGATGAATCAGCTGCAGAACCCACCGCCACCACCTCAACAGCCGACTGACTTATTCCTGTTTGGAATTCAAAATGGTAAGTAATAATAAAGGCCATACAATTTATTGAAACAATGGAGTCTGGTTCAGCTGAATTGTACACTTACATCATACGTTTGGTATGAAAGCAGCTGTAAAGGATCAAGCTGAAATTAATTTATGCACTCACAACACAGTTCCTGCTAGATATAATTGCACAGCATACATCTAGTTAGCAGAATCAACAAAGCCACGGGCATTGGTGGTATCGTGGGAAATGGAAATGGCAGTGTAAAAAGTGCTTGTCTAATTCTGAATTGAAAGCCGTATTTAGAATAATATGTGCAATTTTGAACACCTCAATGTGACGTATATACATGAAAGAGTCATTAGAAGTTAAACAAGACTAATTATCGAACTTGGGTTGTTAATTGAAAAAAAGATACTGAAGTGAAGGTTTTTAAAATGTTAAAAACACCAGATAACTCAAATACAGCCAGTGTCCAGGTTTACGTTACATCGTTTGATTCAGTACAGAATTAGGTTAGACTGGGTGGATGGAACATTCAAATGTGAATTATAGTCTAGTAAAAAACAGGACTGCTAGTTGAAGTTAAAATGTTTTGCCTTATATTCCTGACCTTTCAGCAACTATTTTTGTTGGATCTGGTTTGTGCGAGAAACATAGTTAAAATGATCTGTGACCTTTTAATTCATGCAACTGATAATAGTGGATCCACTTTGAATGGATCAAAGAATTAAGATAATCAAACCTTTTATTGGGTCACATACTTGTGTTTATAAACAAATTAAGCATTTTGATTTTTTTTTAATCAAAGTATCTCTTTCCCAGTAAATGATATTGTTGATAAAAATAGGCAGGATTACAGAAACTTCCTTCCCAGTGGGAAAAAATTTAATTTTGTCAAAATCATCACAATCTTATTAAAACGAATTCTTGCTGGATTCCAATGGGAAACTCACCCCTGAAGACCAAAGTGAACAGAAAGGTCATTTTAAGTTAGCCAAATTGTTGCTTTGGTTTGCTAAAGCAGACCACACAAGTTGTGGCTGTAATGATTTCTTCTCCAGATATTAGAAGATGATGTTGGATGTACGTTATACGAGGATGAACTAACTGCCAAAACCAGTAAATATGAATGTTTGTTAAATGTCTGGTTTCTTTTAGATGCCAATCGGCAATTTCTATATTGAGACGTACCGTATACCACACTGTTGGAAATGTATTAAAAACTAACCTTAATTACCACAAAAATCTTCAAATTCTTATTTCATACAGACTGTGGACGATTAATGAGCATAAATGATGTATCTCGGTCATGTTCTTCTGGACCATCTACTTTGTCTGATCAGCTGCTAGCAATAAGCCAGTCTGGCCAGGCACAGAATGAAGGTCAATCCGTCTCTTCGCTCCTTCCACAGCAGTTGACTGACTCGAGGCAGCTATCATCCAACATTACCGCAGAACAGAACGTGGAAAAGATTGACAACATCCTTGTCACTTTACAGAACCAAGGAAATAACATCAACAGGAGTTTTTAATCCCTCGGTAAGATGAAATGGAATGGATTACAAGCATTTTTATTTTACCTGTTCACGATGCAGTATACATTATAAGTAGTCTAATGATGGCATTCCAGTCCATACATTCCACAGATCAAATGTTATTACATTGCAATTGTACCCACAAGTGCATTATGTATTTTTAAATAGTTTTAATCAGTAATAAATGAAGTATATATAACATGTTTTATACTTTTATCACTTCTAATTCACAGAATAATTTATATCTCTGCTTCCAGGGATATAAATTGTTCTGTGAATTAGACATGATAGAAGTATCATTTTGATTCATGGAGAAATTACATTAGTCTTTTAAAAATGTTCAACTTAACATTATATGTTTAATGATCATAATACCTTATGGAACTGAGAGTGATTGTTCTTAAACTTTTTTTTATTTTTAGATTGTTCATATGGCACAAAGAAGAATCAAGAACATTCAAACCTTGTGAAACTGGAACACCCATCATAAGGCGAGACGGATGATTACTGTACCATGAAGGGAAAGTCTATAGATAGTGTTTATATCCATTTCAGCTTTTAAGCAAGTCCTTGTTTGCTACTTGTAAATTGCCACATTTCAGAAAGCTTAAGTTTTTTTATATGCATTATCACTGCAAAAATGCATTTTTTTTAAATAACTTGTTATATTTCAATTGGCATTCCACCATAGAAAGCAAGTCATGATAAGGTATCTGTGCCCCCTGGCTTTATACCTTTCTAGTTTGTTGGCAAAATTATAATAACTGCCTAAATATACACAGAATTAATGTAGATATTGCATTTTTAGTATACTTAAATAAATATTACTTAAAATCATGCCATTACCAGTCAGTACAAATGAATGAGGAAACGATTATTTCTCTATTGTACTCAAACCAGCCAAGAACCACCAAAACCCTCATCTACTGGTGATGTCGGAGTGAAATGCCAGGTAAGACTGATTTGACTGGATCCCAACGTTCCATTGCTACAGACACTGAGGTGCAATAGGTCACAATAGATTTGTATATTGCTTTGCATAGTACTAGTTGTCAAAATGGCTGGCATATTTTGTTGTTCTATCATTTTTTAATCATGAACTGCAATCATTCATAAAATGTTAAACAAGCTATACAGCAAACTTCACTCCAATTATCAATCAGCTCATGCATACAGAAATTTGCAGGCTTTGTTTGGTAATCATAGACTTCACTGTGGAGGGGAAAATGAGTGACAGGTCTGCAAACAGGATTCTGTCGACAAGTGTGAAGAATTACAGACTTTTCCCTTGAAAAAAAGACCCACTATGAACTTTATGTATTAAGAAAATGACTATTCTAGGACACTAACACTAAGGAATGAACATTTTTCAATTTAGCCTAAATCATACAGTACAAATACAGTAATTGTTTTTATTGAAAATTACTTGGGTCCAAAGTGGAACAACTTGTTGATAGAAAGGAGAGAACTTGATTTTTATAGCATCGTGTCACATCACTGTGTCAAATCACTTCACAAGTAATTACTGTCAAGTGTTGTGACTTTTGCTCCACCAAGGACGTCCCAAAAAAGATGAATGACCAATTAATGTGGAAGATTATTGCCCAGTAGACTTCTGATTTTTGTATAGTGCTATGGGATGTTCAGGCATTTTATTAGATCATGGCAGATCTTTTAATCTAATTATCCTTTTATTTGACATACTCCTTAATACCATACTTCCAACTATCTCTGTTTACAGAGAACTATTTTTTAATGTTCATCTGAAAATAAGCAGATGGGGTCTCAGTTTAATGTGTGATGCAAAAGACTGCAACTCTGACAATGCAGCATTTCCCCAGTACTGCATTGCAGTGTCAGTCGATAAAGGACAAACATATCCTTCTAACTTAAAAGCAGAAATGAATGTAAGACAATTCCTGAGGCCTGTACATTAACCAAGAAATGGCCTTGCTTTTCATTTTTATTTTCCTGCACTCTATTAGCACATCTACTGGGATGAGATGTATTTGAAATCGTTATTTTTCCTTTGGAAAGATGATATTTTTGGAAGAAATCTTGGAGAGTACTTTAAACTTGGAATTTCCAGCACTTTATTCAGCTAATATTGTGATCAGTGATTCCCATTAATGTGTTATGTGATTTTTTTTCTGTCAAACTGTCCACAGCACTTCTGAAAGTATTTATGTTTTTAATGGAATCATTTAATTGTATGATTTGTTTCTTTCTGTTTACTGTAAATATTTAAACTATTTTCTTACTGTGCACGTTTTGAAACATGCAAAACTTTTAAGCAGCCACTTCTAAGAGACACTGAAGTGTTTTTGGTGATACAAGCTTTAGTCATTATGAAGGGAACTTCAGCTGCCGACCGGCTTTTAGGTCAGTCATTTTCAATACAGAATTTTTATGGTTCAAATTTGGATGGTTTATATCTAATGTGTGTTTCATTTTTGGAAAGTTACATTTTATATATATAATAAATATATATATGAAATGATATAATATTTTGTTATTTGTACTAAGTGAGTACAATCAAATTATAAATCTTTTACCACATGTTTTTGTGGCAGCTTTGTGAGACTTTGTTAATATTAGCACCTAGTGGCACTTTCGCTACCATGTTTTGAGTGTGTTTAAATACTTATTTTAAATGAAAATCAAATATTTATGGGGCATACTGTGAAGTAGTACAGCTAAGTATCTTTTTTTGAAATGTTTGCATAACAATCAATATAACTGGACAACAGTGAGTTCTAATTTGGATGTTTGTGAATTGAAATTGTTGCATTCGTTGCAACTTCCATTTTACAATAATTGAAGCCAGCGATTCCTTAATCTTAAATCAGTAATGTCTTCAAGAAGGCCAGCGAGCAACACGCGGTGGGAAACAGCCAGCTGCTTTGCTCATTGACCTTTGTTCAGACTTTGCCAGCTTGAGTTTTGTGATGCTCCAGCCACAAATTTTGTAAACCGTAAATAGCAATTACCAAAACTAATCCAGTTTATGAATATCATTCCGGTGAATGAGAAGGTTTCTGCTTATTGATGGGTTTCAATGCACAGAGTCCTATCTATGCTGTGGCAATACTGACTCTTCAAAATACATGTTAATGACTTAAATCATGGATAAATAGATTTAATAGAACATATTAAATAGAACATGGATTTAAGTTCATTATTGCCATAAATTGTGGTTGGTGTATACAAGCAATATTCCATTATTGCTGTGGTGGTCCTGACTTCAGATCAGCAGCCTCAATGCGAAGTAATGAAAAGGTCTCTGATGCTAAATGAAACGGCACCTGTGGTCTGTAATACTGTTCTCATTTACCTGGAGTTCTACTTGATGGCTACCTACAATTCTACTTATATTTTTCAATATCCTGTACAGTTCATATTGATTATAGTGAGGATTCTCATGTAGTTAAGAACTTCTTGAATTCCTTATTACATAATCAAATTTGAATGTACACATGTGTACAAATGTAAATCAAATCAAATTGAATTATATTTGAGATGAATATATTTAACTTAACAGTAGAATGGGGAAACGACTCCTATATATCCACTATATATTTTTTCTTGAGTCAATAAAGATTTGATAAGATTGGATGTTTAGAATTGGTTTATTTTTGAGGGAAAAAGAAGTAACTTTGTCCTTTTCCTAAAATTTGAGTGTTGTTGTTGTATTTTTGGATCCTGTAGATGTGATCTAATTAATGATGTGCTAGTAATGGAGACTTACTTATTAGTAAAAGGTTTACTAAAAAAAAACTGCACTAAGACATTTTGTGAGTTGATGGTAATGTTCCAGGCTGCTTGTTCTAATGCACGTTTTTGGTTTCACCACAAAAGTATTCTGTTCCCCTGCCACAGGAATAGTGGATGTTATTTTCAACAATGCATTTTTCTAATTGTTAAAGCAATACGGTCATCAGATGCATTCGAGCAAACTGTAGTTTGGCTAATATTTGCATGTTCATAGTCCCAATGAGTAGGAAATGTGGAATGATTTTAACACTGACAACTGTGGAAATAAAATCTCCTACCTCCTTGTTTGCTATGTCGTTGGTAACCTGACTGCCCTCTTGAGTAATTGAAGAGGTGCACAACTGCTCCCTGTCTCTCTTCAGATATATCTGGCAGCAGGCTTGCAGTTGTACTTATTTGCCTGTAATTGAAACTGTAAGAATAGCTCTTGTATCTGTACATTGACTGATGATGAATGTAGAAAGATGTCCCAAAAGTCTTGGAGCTAAGAATCCAAGTGTGTTCTTACACCTGTTGAGGAAATCAGTAGTATCTAGAGCTAAATGTCATATCTTTTATGTAAAAACTTCTGTTTTATTATGAGACCATCTGAGCACTATTAACAGAAAATTCTAAAGTAGCTGGTGAAAGATTATTTTTATTCATGATAGATCGCAGATCATGCACAACTGTGCTCATGAGTTGTCATGCTCCCAAAGTATATTTCCCTATTTAAATAGGAATCATGGAATGCTTTCTTCAGTTAATTGTATGTTGATTGATTACTGCTGATATTGTATAATAGTGAGTGATCAGGATGGTTCAGATGAAAAGTATGAACAATCTAGCCAATATTGATGCAGTATTGCTTCAGTGAGTCTTGTACTCAGTTTGGCAAAATTCAGTGTATAAATGCAAGATGCACTTAGTATTTTATGTTCATTTTTATAGAAATTAAATAGAAATTCTTGATGATCCAGAAGATAAGACATTGCCCCGTGTAGCAACAAACCAAATAATAGTTGTAGGTTCAGTCTGTGATGAATTGGTAAACGTAACGTGGGGCAGTAGTTGGGATTGGGCAGTAGTCAGTTCTTGCCGATTGCTGACTGCCACACATAGGTTGGTTATGGAGCTTCAAAAATTGTCATCAGTACTGCAAATAGCCCTAAAGAAACAATTTGTGCATAGTATCTGTATTTCCCCATATTTTGGCAGAATTCACCGAAGTCAGCCGTGGACTTGAGTGGCAGACCAGCTTGAACTCAAACGTCCAACCCTCTTGTCAGGAATCAACCTGCCCTTTCCTTTCTCCGTTACTTTTAAACTATTAAAATAGCACTTCTAATAAAAATAATTGATATTTTGGGGCAGGAAAATTTATCTGCTCTCAGCGGAAAGAAAAAATACCAATATACAAAATTAATAATTCAAACTCCTTTCATTATATATTATCTGCATGAAAGACTAAACGGATTATCAATGACATTTGTATACTTTTGTGATTTATGTAGTTTTACATTGTTCAAGTGCAGGGTGACATGCATATTGATTGTTTCAAAAGTGTTTTACACGGTGGTGACTGGGTCAGTGAAGCTTTGACATTCCAGATGAGCAGAGCAGCATTACCCAGCCTTAAGTGGTAATTCCATGCGTAATGGGTAGCATGGAGACCGGAAGAGACATACTAGGCGTATATGTTTAGAATTCAAGACTGAGAATTGATTTAGCAGCAGGTGAGATAAGGGGAGTAAGGTTACCTGTGCTAGCAGTAGTTTTGATTGATTTCCCATGATCTCATTCAATGGTTTATTTTCCTTAAACTGTTGCCTACCATCAAACATCTTCTGTATATTTCTCATTGATATTTAATATTTTTATAGTGCAAAGTCTTATTATTTGCCATCCCACAAATACTATTCCAAAATAGATAAAAACGATATGCATTCATTTTTGTATGAACAGTGATATAATTGAAATGCCTCATTAATGTTTGATTTCATTTCAGAATTTTAAAGGGATGGCTCAGTGGTTATTTGTGTTTTTAAAACGTTTGTTTCATGGTTGTTAATTAACTGAAGGACAGGTATCTCAGCACAAGTTGTGTGAAATCTAATTGTGTATAAATGGAGCAGAAGAAAAGATGCAAGAATTGTTTCTACTTGTGATATTCAGCAAGAAATATAGAATAAAGATATTTATGCAATATAAGCTGCAAAGTGTTACATTCAAATATGTTGTTTTAGCCTTTATTATGCATCAGTCAAAGATTAACAGCAGTCACACAATACAATTTGTCATTTTAAGTCATTGACAGTTAGCCCCAATGGTGAGGTGGATAGAACTGCGGTTTACTGATCAGGAGCTCACTGGTTTATCGTGAGTTTGCTGGTCTTGGCCAGAGCTGCATAGGGAGGCTACCTTGGCCCTGGCCTTAACAGAGTTAAGGGAGGGAAAACAATGTAAGATCTGATCCCTCTACAGCACCCTTACTAATCGTATGAGTGGGTGTGTGGCAGCCCAGTGAGGAGAGGTCAGGCTCAGATGTGCCGCCCTCGGTATTTAAGTGGCTGTCAACACCACCAAGGTTCACGTATGAGGTACCAGAGGAATAGCACCCCAGCACGCGGAGACTGGGCACCAGCAACAGAAACATAAGCCAATGAAGAGAACATTAGAAAATAATTGGACTTAAAAGTAAAACAAAATTAAAATATCATAAATGATTTTTTTCTGTTGTTTGCCCAACAATATTAACATTTTCCTTTTTGAAAACTAAAATCCTTCATCTTTACTGTAAAGAAGATGAAATACACTGATGTAGTAACGGATATAAAGAGTGCACACGTTCATATAAAGATATTTGCAGAGACCATAACTGCCAGAACAAAGCAAAACTGTCCGAGGATTGCTGTTAGACAACGAGATGACTTTGTCTTTTCATTGTACAAGGTTTTTTTTAAAAAAAAGAAGGGCTGCACTGTTACCATAAATAGCGAGTAGTAAGAAAATATCAGTGTTGTAGATTGGTGCAGTTCTGTA